AGATACCATTGCTGCTTCGAAAGACAGATGGAAGTGGAGGTCCATGATCGCCCACGCCAGTCGGCAAGGCACCGGATGATGATGATATATACACACGCGCGATATGTCAGTTCTGGTTTAACATAGGTTTAAAGGATGTTTGTATTATAAAAATGTTCTTTTACGATGCAAGCGAACTGGAATACGGTAGTTACTCTCTCACTCTCTGCCCAACTTCATAAATAGGCACGTACTTATTATTGATCATTTTAAATAAACTAATGATTTAGGAACAGGTAAACACGCGCAAGCTCCCATGCATGCACCTTGCACACACACACCCACACACATACACACACACACACACACACACACACACACACACACACACACACACACACACATACTCGCACACACACATACACATGCATACACACATATACACATATACACATACACACATGCACATACACACACTCATACACACATACACATACATACTCACAAACAGAAAAGACAAATGAGTGCCCTCACCGGTTTTACTATTATTTTATTCTCACCCTTTCCTTCTACCTTTGTCTTACTGTCTCCCTTTTTCTTTCTCTGTCTATTTGCCTATCTGTCTGTCTGTCTGTCTGTCTGTCTGTCTGTCTGTCTGTCTGTCTGTCTGTCTGTCTGTCTGTCTGTCTGTCTGTCTGTCCGTCCGTCCCACGTAAACTATATTTTATTTGTCCAAAATGACTTACGAACAACATATTAAAAATTAATATTTCTAAAAAGTTTACTAGTTTAACTGCACAAGTTAAGGGCCTCAGAAACAAAGACAAAATAGTATGCATTAATTCATGTTTACTAAAATGAACGTAGTGATGTATTATATAGATAACATTACATTTTTTTTATTGATGGAAAAAATGTTAAGTTGTATTTTACAAATACTTATTTGATACCGACTGCAAAATTTCATGAGCTCAGATTTGTTATGCTTTAGGTGTGTTTTATTTACCTCAACTTTAAAAAAATACAACAGAGTCTAAGCATAAATCTCTGCTTCAGCTCTGGAAAGTAACCTGTTGCAGTTGTCCATTCGTAAACTTGGTTTTCCGTTGGGACTTTTCCCCTTTTACACAACTATACTGCTGCACATGAAAAATATGTCTAAACCTGAAAAAAAGCTTAAAGAGAAATATGTCATTTTATACACAATTTTCCTTTCAATCTGAAGATATTTTCCAGTGATATTGAAATGAGTTGTGATTGTCATCATCACCACTACCACGACATCATTATCACCATCATCATTATCATTATCATCAGGAGATATTTGGACGAGTGGAGGTGCCTCTAAGTATTTTGACAATGGAGCCGAAAAAAAGCCTCGCTCTCGCTCGAAGATTTCTTCGTGGAGTCCACCAGGCCCATTCACGAAACAAAACAAAAAATCATCATCATCACCATCATCATCATCATCATCATCATCATCATCATCAGCAGCAGCAGCAGCAGCAGCAGCAGCAGCAGCAGCAGCAGCAGCAGCAGCAGCAGTATACCCGTGATCTTTTTACGTGAAGTTGAAATTATATTTTTGGATTGGATAATAATACAGCGTTAAAAATCGTTCAATAAGAGCCATTTCCACGTAGGCCTATCAAGGTTTTAGCGAATATTTCAGGAAGAACAAAACACTGATTAATGTAGGTGTGTATTACTGATCAACACACCGGAAACGACCAAGCCCTAAAAGTGTATTATGATACGCGATTTAGGAATTATTGGCTTTACTGTCGGTTCCGTAGTAATTCTTGTCACCTCACCCAAGTTGTAACAACATTGAAATCCATTCCACACATCTCAAGATGAGCTAACTTGGAAGCAAACAGCTATGATAAGTAAAACAGTATTTGCTTTTTATTTCGATTTGAAGGCAGGGGACTCAATAAAACTTAGAGAAATGAATCCCATGATACGTGCTTTCGATTGGTGAAAATAAAGTGTTCAAGCCAAAATGGAGATACGCGGATCTGGCTCTAACTATAGGACGAAATGTCCCTTGTTCTAGTAGAAACTTGAGGACTTGTGGAAATTGCTTCTCAAAATTTCTTTGGTACGAGTGAAAATGCTTGGGGGTGGGGGCACATTTCAAGGGCAATAGTTTCAGGTTTCTTGTGCCCTTTAGAAAATTATAAAGTTCGGATTTACGGACGTGCCTTATTTTTGTAGGTGTGTCTTATTTTGAGGGTCCTTTACTTTTCAATCCATAAGTGATTAATGATTGGCATAATATGAAATATTGTATGTGAATGTGTGCATGTATGTCTCTGGGTGTGTAATGTCCGTCTGCCTGTCCGTCTGCGTATGTATGTTGATGAGGATGTCAAAAAAATTGACTGCTTAGGTGAAACATTATCATGTAACCAAGGCACTTTAACCTTCTCTTTTTAATCTCGTCATAACAAAACGCATTATTTTCTCTGTTGCTCGTTGTCACAAAAAATTAGCGGGTGTTGAGAGGATGCCACTGGTGTGTCTTATATCATTTTCCCCTATGTTATTTTTATCTGCCTTACTTTTGTTCAGGATGAAATTATGATCATTATTTAGTCGATGGGCATCTATTTAAAAACTCAACATGTTGTCGGAATGTTGACAACAGAGTAGATTTTGCTCTGAACATTTAACTTTTTGCAACAAAGCAAGCGAGGAGTTAACATCACACCAACAAATCTACCTTTTCTAAATCCTGTTGCACACAGGCAGCTTGACACATAATGGTAGTGTGTTAACACAAGGCCAAGGTACAAGTCAAACCGATAAAAAAAATGCCTTTATCTCTTATTTATATCTCATTTTTCATAAAAGGTCGTTGCATTCCATTGATGATGTGAGACTCCTGTTTCTGTGTCACACACGTTTATGATGTGGTTGTCTGCTCATACTTGTTTTTAACAACCATTTACGACAAGCATTTTGCTTGCTCAATTGATCATGCTGATCTGCTGTGCGGATGGCTCTTATTCAAATCCCAAAGTGGAAGGGGGGAAGGGTTGCATATATTATGGGGTTTTTTTTACGTGTATCCAAGGATTTGCGCCCCCACCCCCACGTTGGCTTTGTCCTGAAGGAGATGGAGTTTATACAGACTCTTTAAATGGCCCTGCAGTGTTGAAAGGGACACTAAACTCATACTATGATTTCAGGAGAGGAATACGGATATAGCAAGGATCTGACAGCCTATGTCTATTGGGCTGTAACAGAGAACGTGAAATATTGCAACCATTCTTTGATCCCTTACATACAACATGTAAACTGAATAGAAAAATATGTTGATTTTGCAGTAGGCAGTGTAATGCTTGTTATTTATTATTTATTTATGCACTTAATGAGTGAACTGACCGAACATACATGTATGTGTATATATATAATATAATATTCTTATTGCTACTTTCTTATTTAATTCTGTTCTCGACACATTTTACATTTCAAAGGTTTTTTTGTTAATAATCCAGCTAAAAGGGTGTATTTTCTTGACACGCGTCGTTGGTAGCTCATTGTTCTGTATAACCTGTCCAGAAATGCGGCAAAGGAACTTAAAATTACCCGTGTACCAAGAGTTGCATTGAAACTTTGTCTCACACGTCGTACTGTGATTACGTGAGGCGTGTAGCGGATTGGGGCTCCGCCGTTGGTCAGGGGAAGTTGATTCTAAATCGAGTAGATCTGTCTGTCTTTTGGGACATTGTATCCCTGTCAGGCAGGAACTAAGCAGCCCGCCTCCTCAACGACTTGAATTATGTGTCTTTTAGGGAATAAAATATCAACATTAAAATAAAACATTTTTAAAAATTAATCAAAACAGTATCTCAAC